TTTCTTGCACGTCTTTACCACCTCCTTGTTGACCATTCTTTTTCTCCTACATTTACTTTCCTCAACTACTATTGCTTCTATTTTCTTGTCTATTTTTCTATTGTCTCTGCTATTTACAATTAGAAGTTTATTATATTGATATTTCTTGACTTCTACACTTGAGTGCAACTGAAACACTGATAAGAAAAATTAGGCCAACGAAAAAATAAATGACAAAAAGAAATTCAAATATTTGCTTTGAGTTAGAGAGTATAATTTTAGAGACAATTTTATTTATGATAGATCTTAAGTCTTATGAGGTTTTTTATTTTTTATTTACTTTTATTCAACTATCTTTGAATGAGCATCCTATGGTTTGTAATATTTTTATTTTGTAACATTGCAAAATTATTGTGTTATTAGATCCAATCCAATCACCGTTAATAAGAAAAGAATGAATAATAAAAGGAAAAAGTTTGAAAGAATTATTACTATTTTTTAAAAAATGATTTTTTTTTTAAGAAAAGTGATCTTCGTAACATTTTAAATTTGGAAATCTTTTAGTTATGAAGAAAATATTAACATCCTGCTGTGTACTTGTATCTTAAATTTAAATTGACTTTAGAGTGTATTGATTTATAAAAAGAGAAGAATTATTTTAAAATATGGTATATCTTAAAATAAAAAAGTAAAAAATATTATTTAGACTGAACAGGTTTTTTTATTCCCACGTTTACGGTGCAACAAGAAATCAAAGTTGGAAAAAGCAAAAGTTATAATAATAATAATAATAATAATAATAATAATAATAGTAATAGTAATAACAGATATGATAATTATCAAGTGAATACAACATAAATTAATGTTTAAGAATATTATTTTAATCAATTCATCTATCAGGTTGTTAACCTTTAACTTCATTTTGTATTTTGTTTATATGCATGTTTATATGTTCTTTGGGGACAATTTTAATGTTATCTTATTTGATTTTATATATTAACCCTTTTATATTTTAGACTTACTTGCCTTGTTCCCTCAACTTTCATGTTTGTATAATTTCAGTCTCCCAAATTCAATTTTAATTGTTTAATTTTAATTATTTTTTCTTCGTTAACAATGGACTAGAATTTTTCAGTGCATGCTATGCTCGAAAATGGGAAACACTTCACCATTTGGACACCTTTTGGGTAAAAGTTTTCCAACATTGATTTTGAAAGTTTGGGATCTTAGAATTGGAAGTTTAGAGAGTCTGTGTTTTGGAATTAAAAGTTAGAACTAACAAGTTTTGACTTAACAAGGGTTAATATTCCACTCTTTCAGTACTTTTGCTTTGTTATTGTTGATTTTCCTGTCGTGTGTGTGTGTGTTTGGCTCGTAGGGGAATGTATTCCTTTTAAAAAAAATTACATATGTAGTCTCTTTATAACGGTATATAATTTTTTTTCATATATTTTCTTTTAAAATAAATCAAGAAATATTTTTTTATAATATCTTCAGTTATAAATTCTTTTATATTTTTATTTTATTTATAGAATAACTACTTTATTATCTTTTTATTTGCGTAATAATTTCTAATAGTAATTTAATATATGAAATTTTTGCAAAGACTAACAATTTCAAGTCTTTGTACTTCTTTCACGTTTCATATTCAATGCGATTGCCTAATTTTCCAACTTGCCAAAAGGGTTAGAAAAGAAAAGATATATAACAATCATATCTTTCCATGATAAATAATTAAAAAAATATTATTTTAAAGTTACCGATTCACTTTATATTAGAATATAAGTATGATAAAATTTAAAAGTTATAATATCAGATACAATTAATATATGACGTATAAAGTTAATATTAATATCCTTTATGTTATATTATGTCCATATGATACATGTAAGAATGAAAATAAAATTGTCAGGTTGAAACTGAATTTTTATATTTATTTTTTTTATCTTTTTAGTTATATATTTGTTTTAATTATTTCTACCCTTTTATTTAAAAAATTAAAATAAATATTTTAAATATTATTACAAATTTACATAACTAATATTAAAAGTTATTTTAAATCGCATATATAGTTTAAATAAAGGAAACTGTGAGAGAATGGTTGGGTACACCAGCACATGAGCTAAATCAGCAGTTGATTCGATTTAACTCTTCCTTTTGATATGACTCAACTGCTAAACTTTATTGCCTGCAAAATGGCTTAGATAATTAATATACAAATAGAAGTGCAGTAATAAGTCACATAAATTAGCATCATTCCTACTGTTTTCACGATTGGAATATTGAAAGTCATCCTGATATTAAAAGATTAAATATTTCAATATTTTTTATATAAATTCATGAAAATAAAAATAGAAAGATAAATTTGTATTTAAAATTAAAGAAATAAAACAAAATATATTTTCTAAATCTAAATTATCTCTAAACTTTTTTTATCCTCACTTTACTCTTAATTAACTTTATTTTATATCAGCAACATTCAAACGAACAATTATTTTTCTAAACTCTAAATATTGAAAATAATTTTAAACAAAAAAATAACATTTAAATTTATTTTTTTTATTTTTAATTACTAAGTAGAAATTTATTTTTGCACGTGGTTCAAGTTAATACATTGTTACTCAATAAATTTTTACCATTCAAGTAACATTAAAGGTTTGATTTATCACTTTATCAACGTTTTGACTATTGCATAAATTTAAAATTATTTTTAAAAAAATAATTTTATTTTAATTATTTTTTATTATCTTTTAAATTCAAGAGACATTAAAGGTAAATTTATTATTTTGTTAACATCTCTTAGCCTTTACGTAGATTCAAAATTCTTTTTTTTAAGAAAAAATAATTATATATATTTATCAATTTTTTAAAATATTTATTTTATTATTTTGTTTATGCATATAAAAATATTATTTACCAACAAACTCATGTCACAGTGACAATTATAAAGTAGGCATAGAAATAATAATATACAAACACATGCAACTTTATGGCCAATCACAATATTTAATTTTTATTATTTTTTATTTTATTGGCTTATAAAGAAAAAAATAAAGAGAAAAAGAAGAAAAAAAATCAATATTATCTTATAAATGCTTTTAGCTAATAAAAAAAATTTAATTATTATTATTATTATTATTTGCTTTATTGCATTGGTTCAAAAGAAAAAAATAATAAAGAAAAGGAAAATTTAATAAAAAAATTATTTAATTACAAGATTTAATTTTTATTTCTTTGGTTAAAAAGAAAAAGAACAATAGAAAAAAGAAAGAAAGAAAGAATCATTAAAATTTTGTTTATCATAAGATTTATATTTATTTAATTGATTCATAAATAAAAATAAGTAAAATAAAAAAAATATCACAAAAAATATTCTTTACATCACAAGATTTGATTTTTATTCCTTTGATTTGTAAAAGAATAATCAATAAAAAAATATCATTAAAAACTAAAAAAATATTCTTTTATTATTTACATTACAATATTTACCATCAAAGATAAAACAACAAAGATAGGAAAATAAAAATAAAAATAAAAAATAAATAAAAGAAATTACTATCATACAAGATTGATATAGAAAAAAAAAGATAAGATTATAATAATACTAAAGTAAAATTGAATAATTATTTTTAAAGGCGTGTAATAATATGAAATGTTGTAATCTAAGTGATATAATATGAAATGTTATAAATAATTTACTTTTTTTCTTCTGCAGGTTGAAAGGAAAGATTGTTTAGACAATATAAGTATTAAAATAAAAGAGAGTAACATACAAATAATATTCTCTTTAAATAAATTTTTAACTATTAATACTCCAAATTTAAAAAAGGAGAAAATTATAATATAAATCATATAATAACTCATACTTTTATCTTATTTTAAATTGCAACGTAACAAAGAACATAGCAACTACAGTGAATAAAAGAAGATTCAGAAGAATGAATAATTTTAGTAAAAGTACTTTTTTTTTTAAATTATGTAAAATTTTAAAAAATATATGAATAATGTTTTTATGTTTTGTTGAGATAATTAATTGTCTTATTGTATATATTGTTATTAATTTTTATTATTATATTTTTATATATTATTACCTAGACGTTAATTCTATCATTAAGAAAAAAATTGTCCAAATTTTATACATGATTCGTAAAAATTTATATCAATTTATTTTTTAAAAACTTATTTTAGTTTAACTATTAGAATTAATATAGAAATATAAAATTATTTTAAATAACATAAAAAAAATTAAATGATGTATCGTCAAATAGACATGATTGCTATATTCTATGTTTTCTGACCCTTTTAGTCAGTTGGAAAAATTAAGCATCCGCGTTGAAATTTAAAAGCAAAACGTGTAAAGACATGAAAAACAAAATTGATTGGTACTTCAACACAGCAAAATAGCACTTGATATTTCTTCATTTTATTTCTGCACAGGCTTTCCTCAATATAATGTCTTTTTCTTTTAACAGAATGTTAGGGAGTGATGTCTTATTTAAACAAAAAATATCAAATCGTGAGCAGTAAGAAATATGAATAAATAATAGTAAAAAAAGAAAATAAAAAAACTAACGAAACCAAATTTAACTTTGAAATCACTTGGAGATAATTAAGGAAATTAAGAGACATATAACAAATTACGTTTCTCGTGTATGGATTTTATTTTTAAAATTTTAAAAAATCACTTTTGTAAACCTTTTCATGTTTCTCTTTCTTTGAACAATAATGAACAACTTATTCATTTGGCCACCCTATCAACTATATAAACACTGCTGTCGATCTTTCTTGCTTCAAAAACAAGAGAGAAACTTGAACACAGTTTCCTATCTTCGTTTTACTCTTATTCAACGTTGTTTCATATCTGCAAAATTATAATGAGTCGTGTATTCTCAAATTATGTTATGCACTGTTGCTGCTTCTATTACAAGCTGCAGGATCCATGAATGCAGAAATAAAGTGCACAGAGAGTGAGACAAGCACTCCTCAACTTCAAACATAGCCTCTCACATGACTTTGGTGGCATGCTATCTACATGGAGCGACGATGACAGTAATCCTGATTGCTGCAAATGGAAAGGCATTCAGTGCCACAATGAAACTGATCATGTACAAATGCTTGATCTCCGTGGTCAGGATAATTTTTTGTCTGGTGCAGTTAATTTCACTCCATTGGTTCACTTGCAAAAAATGGAGTATTTGGATCTCAGCTATAATGATTTTCAATCGAGTCACATTCCGGAACTTATTGGCTCGTTTACCAACTTAAGATATCTCAATATCTCATATTCTCAAATTTCTGGGAGAATTCCTTGTGAACTTGGAAAGCTTGCACATTTACAATATCTGGGTTTAGGGAGCAATTATCTCGATGGAGAAATCCCTTATCAACTTGGAAATCTGTCACGGTTGAAGTATCTTGATCTTAGTGGAAATTCAAATTCCTTTTTTGGAGCAATCCCTTTTCATGTTGGGAATCTTCCTAATTTGCACACTCTTAGGCTTGGTGGCAATTTTGATGTTGAATCTGTTGGACTCCCAACTATGTGTCCAAAAGTCCAAATTTTCAAGCTCATTTTTCTACACTTAATTGAGGGGAGTGAGAAGTCAGTGGAGTGGGTGAGGGAAGTCCATTTTCGCAGCTTAGTATGAGTATTTTCGTAGAGAGGCATCAAAAAGAGAGAAGGGAAGTGAGGGAAGAAAAGAAGCTCCAGACCAGCTGCTCTATTTCTCTGATATCTAATTGGTTCACCGTTGGATCGGGCTGAAAATTTTACAACAGATTCGTAACACGGTGCTCTTTGTTCTGACCGTTCGGATTGTCGATTGGAGGTCTGAAGTTGGAGATACTGTCTTCGTACAGAAGCCCTGTTTTTGGTGACTCTGCACAGACCAGCCGCATAGAAATCGTTATTTCTCCTTTATTCAACCGTTGGATTGAGCTGAAATTTTGACAGAAGTTCCCAGACGTATATTTCTTCGTTCTGACCGCTGGATCGTTGATTGGAGGTTTTGGCTGAGAGAAATCGTGCATGAACAGCAGCTTTGTTTTGGGAGATTTTCTCTCTTTGGTTAGGCTTTATTGCTTGGTTGTATTAGCTGGTTGTTTGCACGAATTTGTGCAGTATTTTGAGACTCTCTTGTAACTTCATTTGATTATAGTGGAGCTTGATTGACTGGCTTGAGCCCGTGGGTTTTTACTTCTCACATTGAGAGGGTTTTCCCACGTAAATAATTCTCTGTGTCCTTGTGTTTGTTGCTGCCATTTGTTATTGTTGTTGCTCCTCACAGGTTCTTGCAAGTTTGGGGAATTGTTTCCGCTGCTCACTTTAGATAATTGTGTTCTTGTGTTTGGTTTTCCCCAACAGAGTGGTATCAGAGCTCTTTGGGCTCTGGTTTTGGGATTATTTGACTTGCTTGAATGATGGAGGCAAATACAAAAATGGTAGCTTTGAATGGTACTAATTATCATTTGTGGAAGGGCAAGATGAAAGACTTGTTGTTTGTGAAGAAATTGCATCTTCCAGTCTTTACTACTCAGAAGCCGGAAAATATGTCTGATGAAGAATGGACTTTTGAGCATCAGCAGGTATGTGGTTTTATTAGGCAATTTGTAGAAGACAATGTATATAATCACATTGCTAATGAGACACATGCTAGAACTTTGTGGGAGAAGATTGAGTCCTTGTATGCTTGTAAGTCAGGGAACAATAAATTGTATTTGTTGAATTGTCTGATGAATTTGATGTACAGGGAGAGTTCTTCTATTTCAGATCACTTGAATTAATTTCAAGGGCTCCTAGATCAACTGTCTGGAATAGGTATCAACTTTGATGATGAGGTTTTGGGACTATGGCTATTGAATACTCTACCTGAGTCTTGGGAGACATTTCGGGTTTCAATTACAAACTCAGCTCCTAATGGTGTTGTTTCTTTGCAAATGGCAAAGAGTGGTGCTCTTAATGAAGAGATGAGAAGGAAGGCACAGGGTTCTTCATCTCAGTCCGAGGTATTTTTCACAGAAAATAGGGGGAGAAGTAAGAAAAAGGAACCGAAGGGTGGTAGAGAAAAGAGCAGGAGTAAGTCCAAGTCAAGATACAAGAATGTGGAGTGCTATTACTGTCACAAAACAGGGCACATCCAAAAGAACTGTTTTCTTTGGAAAAAGGAGAACAAAGGAAAGAAGGGCAAGCAGAAAGAGAAGGATCATGATGATGATGATCGTGTCACTACTACTAGAGGTGATGATCTTGTTCTTCTTCGTGACTATGAGTCTGTTAATCTTGTATCTGATGAGAGCATGTGGATAGTTGATAGTGGTGCTACACTGCATGTTACACCAAGGAAGGAGTTCTTCACATCTTACACTTCTGGTGATTTTGGAGTATTAAAGATGGGTAATGATGATGTGTCTAAGGTGATTGGTGTTGGTGATGTTTGCTTGCAAACCAACATGGGAGTGCAGTTATTACTTAGAGGAGTCAAACATGCTCCTGATGTTCGCTTTAATCTGATATCTGTGCCTTTGCTTGATGATTGTGGTTATGACAGTCACTTTGGTTCTGGAAAGTGGAAACTCACCAAAGGTAACTTGGTTGTGGCCAGAGGGGAGAAACATTCTAAACTGTATTGGACTAAAGCTTTGCTTGCTAAAGAGAGTGTGAATGCTATGTACATGGAGTCATCTTTGTGGCACCGAAGGCTTGGTCATATCAGTGAAAAGGGGCTTAATTGCTTAGCTAAAAGGGATGCTCTTTCGGGATTAAAGAATGCAGAGTTGGAGAAATGTTCTCATTGCATGGCTGGTAAACAAACCAGAGTATCCTTCAAGAAGCATCCTCCCTCCAGGAAGTCAGAGTTACTTGAATTGGTACATTCTGATGTTTGTGGCCCATTAAAGGTAAAGTCATTTAGTGGTGCACTTTACTTTGTTACTTTTATTGATGATTGTTCCAGGAAGTTATGGGTCTATGTATTGCAAAGAAAAGACCAAGTACTTGAAAAATTCAAAGAATTTCATGCTTTGGTTGAGAGGCAGTCTGGCAAGAAGCTGAAATGCATTCGTACTGACAATGGTGGTGAGTACTGTGGACCCTTTGATGTTTATTGCAGGCAGCAGGGTATTAGACATGAAAAGACTCCTCCTAAAACTCCTCAGCTGAATGGTCTAGCTGAGAGGATGAACAGGACTTTGGTTGAAAGAGTTAGGTGTATGCTTTCTGAAGCAAAATTGCCTAATCATTTTTGGGGAGAGGCTTTGCTTACGGCAGTGCATGTTATTAATCTTAGTCCTGCAGTTGCTTTGAAGACTGAGGTGCCAGACAAAATTTGGTTTGGCAAGAATGTGAGCTATGATCATTTGCGTGTCTTTGGTTGCAAGGCCTATGTTTATGTTCCAAAGGATGAAAGATCCAAGTTGGATGCGAAGACAAGGCAATGTATCTTCATTGGTTATGGTCAGGATGAATTTGGCTACAAGTTATATGATCCTATTGAAAAGAAGATTGTTAGAAGCCGTGATGTGCAGTTCATGGAAGATCAAACCATTGAAGATATTGACAAAGTGGAAAAGACTACACCCAAGAAAGATAGTAATCTGACTGATGGTAATCCAATATGGTTGCCTGTTCACAATCTGGATCATGCTGAGACTAATTCTCAGAATGAAGAGCAACATGGTGATGTTGATGACCAGCAAAAGCATTGTTTCATCACATATTATCTAAACACTATAAATTACTAAAACAAACTCATTTTTAAATAAGTCTAATTTAGTCAAATAAATTTTTAAATTAGTGAAATAAGCTATAAATTAATTTAAAATTTACTAAACACTCTCATTGTATTTTATATAAACGAATTTGACTCATTTGAACTACAAACTATAAATAAAGTCATTAACAAATTTTTATCTATAAAAAAGACAAAAACGATTCCATTGAAATATTTATATGAAGATAAAGAGTAAAGTAAAAAGAAATTGCTAAAATATGAAAAAAAAATATTTAAACCTATTATTAAATATTTAATATATTTATAATTTCAATTTTCAAATAAATAATATAACAAAATATTTATCTATCGTCTACCGTAAAAATAAAACCCACTGCCATATTTAACACATATATCTATTTAAAAATACACTTATTTTCTCCAATTAATCTGAAATAAAAAGTATTTTTTATTTTTCCAATTTTTTATTTAATTTATTTTTTAACCTGAGTATCTTATTAAAAAGGAAAATTAGTATTTATCCTCTAGAAAAAAAGTTTCGATCTTAAATATATCAATGCTAGAAAGAAGGGCCTAAATTCTTATCAAGATGATAAACTTGTAATTTATTTTTACTTTCCTTCCTTTTTATCTTTTAAGGACTATCAGTCGTGAAGTAGTGCTCTCAATCTTTTTATCTTCAATTTATCTGTCTAGATTTTTAAACTATAGCCACTTGGACTATGCCAATTGAAGGCATGTATAAACCAAAAATCATTGCTTTTTTGAGGTGTATTTTTTTTGAAAGGGATGAAAAATAAATAAAAATAACAATATGTCAAATTCAATATCAATTTTTTTAATTTAAACAATATAACTGTTGTGAATACCAATTTTTATATTTTCAAAATGGCTTCCAATTTTTTTTTTAATTTATAAAAATAAAATAAAATTATTTTACAGAAAAATGGAAAATTTTGAAAAAAAAGAAGAGACTGGTTCATGAAAATGGTATCCCTGCACTATGCAGTCTGAGACCCCAATTTCAAAACTAACTGAATGCATGAAAAGGGAAAGGCTCAGATTTTGGCATTTTGTATAAACCCTAAAGGAACCCAGTATAAAATCTAAAAGCAAGAGATCTGGTGAGAGGAACTTTTCGAAAAGAAAAAAAGCAAAGCAAAAATTTTCAGAGAAGAGTGTGAAGTTTTTTGAAAAGAAAGCAAACAATTTTTTGGAGAAGAAACAAAGTTTCAGAGAAAGAAAAATATTTCAAGAGGTAGCAACAAGTTTGTTTTCAAAAAAAGAGAGAAACATTTTGAAGAGGAATATGGGAGAAAGAGAGGAAGCAGGTAAAAAAAAGGGAGCATTTTATAGAGGAAGGAGAACAGCACAACAAAGAAGAGAACAAATAAAATAGTAGAAAAAATTGAAAATCAAGAGAAGAAAGGAATCATAGTCACTATCTTTCATCCTCCGTTGCTGCTCAAATCTGAACGTTCTTCAACTTTGAATACTGCCAAGGTATTGTCTTTACTGCTAAACTCATATTCACAGAACCATGTCGTGGGATGAAAGACGCAAGATAAAAAAGAATACAAGTTATGGGTCATTTGATAGGATTTAGTTGTTTTGTTAATATGTTCTTATTATTTTATTATAAAAATGAAAAGAGAGTTTGATGAAAACGTGACTTATGCACGTCGAGGAGAGATACGGTCAAATTCATTCAAAAAGCTGCATTATATATTATTTTATTTGCTTATTAATGCATTGGAAATGAAATAGATATAAAGATGGAAATCGAGAAGTGCAGAGTATAGTCTTTTCAATTCTTTGTTAGTTCATTGATTTTATGCATATGAGATATAGAAGAATATAGGCGGTGAAAGGAGCGACAGTCTAACTTACAGCATGGTGCAGTCATTTCATTTTTTTTTTCTTTTCTTTCTTTTTTCTTTATATCTTTTATATTTATTTATTTATTTTATGTCATAAAAATATAGTTCACTTTCAAAAAGTTTAGACCGAGATTAATGTTAGATTATGCTTGAACTTCTTTTTATTTATTATTCACTTTTTTTCATTTTTTCTGTTATTATTTTTATTATTATTATTTTAAGGATATCATATTCAGCCAACTAAATTTAAAAATACATAAATAATTCATGTAAATATATGTGTGTATGTATATATAGTTTATATTTATTTACGTGTTTATAATTTATTTATTTACAGTGTTATCATTCTTTACTTTATTGTATTAATTTTAGGATGATTGATATAATTAGATTTTATATTCATATTTTAGCTTTTTTTATAACTCACAAATTATTTTGTAAACAAAAAAATAGTGTAATATTCTCATCAATTTATAATATTAATGTATAGTTTTTCTATCGTTATGTAATATAAATTGATAAAACCTATGTGTACCAACGTTACCTTAGGTCTTATGCAATATAAATTTATCAAATAAAATTTGAATTTTTATTAAATAGTTATTTTCTTTAATCAATTTAGATATATTTATTCTTTTCATCAAATGGAATTAATTTCGTATTGTAATTTTTCTTCTTAATATTTCAAAATTTGATGAATTAAATAACTAAACATTTCTTTGCTTATTTATACAAATATTGATGTGTGATTTACATTGCTTTCGATTGTTCAACAAATTATGGGAAGATTTATGTATAGCTTACGTTATCTTAAATTTTCTTTCACATCAAAAGTAAAATTTAAATACTTTGTAATAATAAGATATTTTAACAATTTACAATATAGTTGTGTGATCTTTCTTCACTTTCTATATTGTTTATCGTAGAGTATATGTATAACCGCGTTATCTTGTATCCTAAATTTTATAACTTTACAAAAATAATTTTAATCTCAAAATAAATCTCTTTTACTGAACTTATTTTAATTAACCAACTTCGTAATTTTTTAGATAGAACTACGTGACTTTGAGTTCTCCATTGCACCTGGAGATACGTAGGAGCGGGAACCGAACTCGTCAAGTCAAAATAATTTTTAAAATAACTCAAATAATATTTCAATAAATAATATTTCTTCTAAAATAAAATAATTAATGTTTAGGGGTTAAATAAATATTTTTCAAAATTAGAATGAATTTGCACAATTAATTTTAAGTAACAGTTTTTAAACGGACTTTGTAGGGTGCTAATACCTTCCCTACACGTAAATGACTCCCGAACTCATTTTTGGTTTCAAAGTTCGTATTATATTTAAGTTTTTCCAAGGTTTTTTCTTAAAATAAACTTTGGTGGCGACTCCTCTGATACTTTTTAAAAACGTTTTTTGCCGTACCGTTGCGACCGCCCGGTTGCGACAGATGGCGACTCCACTAGGGACGTCTTTTAGAGAGTCAAGCCTTTTGATAATTGATTGTGCGAATTTGTATTATTTTGTTTCTATTTGTTTAATCCCTTTCTTTTTTATTTATTTGAGTTAATTGTAGTGTTTCTTTTATTCGTGCATGTATTTTGTGTATGAATTGCGTAATCTCATTGTATGCTCATATTGATATTGTTATTAATCCTAGGGTAGATGACTATTGATAATTTGTATATTCTCGTGTTGTTTAATTTTTGGGGCTTTTTATTTTTGTTGAGTTGATAAGGTTTGTATGTTCCCTCACACACTTTGAGCGGGGCCTTATACCCAGGTCTGAGTATACCTAGGATTAGAGGGGTTATGTAGCGGTGTCATTTTGGATGCACGTCCTATTTGGCTATCGTGAAAACCCTAGCTAGAGTTTGACCTTTTCTTGATGTCCCGCATCTAGTAGACTCCCTACTGTTGTGGTCAACATCAAGGATTGGATCTTAGCTCTAGTGACCTTTTAAGATTACAAGCCACCTTTTGTGAGTTTTTACACGTAAAAGAAAGTTGTAGATCTTTAAGTTAGACCCTTTAGGTGACCTGAAATAGGACATAAAAGGGGGTATTCTTTCCTTATTTACTCTTTTAGAAATTATGTGAATTATTAGTGCCTTAAAGTTTTAAATAAAAAAGGAGAAGAATTTTTATTTTTATTTTTTACTATATTTTGGAATGATATAAGGACTAGTGATTCACATGATTCTTTCAATTAATTTTTCTTACATCATCATCATTTCATATATCATTGCATATCATTTATTTGAATATCATGCTTATTGCCATCCTTCTGACACTTGTAATAAATTTAAAATCAATTTTGAAATAAGGTTAAGGATGACAATTTGCATAATTTCTTACATCATTGCATTGTCAGATGAAGCATTACCCTTTTAAGTATCAATTTAGATTTATCAAAAATAAAATTCAAAAGATCTTAAAAAGGGTGATGATTCATATTGTCCTCGCATTATCATGGTCATCACATATTTGTCTCATTAATGTAAAAGTCGAGTGGATTATCGATTCATTTAGAATTAATGTTGATTCTTATATGGATGTTTATCTATTTAGAATCAATATTAATCCTTATGGCTACTAGGATTCTATGTTAATGAAATAAATACAAGATTTGAAATAATTTCTCATCATTTTCTTTTTATTTATAGGTTGAGAATCACAAAGTTGTTTGAGTATTTGAGAAAATGGAAATTAATGTAGGATCAAGTAGCAGTGAGATGAGATCAGTAGAGTTGAGAAGAAAATTGCATCTAAAAGTTAAAAAGGCTGACACTACTAGTTTGAGAGAATTAGGGAAGAAGCTGAAGACGGTCCAAAAACTAACTTTAGTGAGGAGGTATGGAGATATTTTGAGATTGATGGAAGTGAATGTGCAAGAAGATGCCATAACAACTCTAGCCCAGTATTATGATTCCCCGTTGAGGTGCTTCACTTTTCAAGATTTTCAGTTGGCTCCGACCTTAGAGGAATTTGAGCAAATTCTAGACTTGCCTTTGGAGGGTCAACAGCCATATCGCCCTATGAAACATCATGCATCTCTGCCGACTATCGCCAATGTCTTAAGGATACATCCAGCCGAGTTACAGCAAGCTTATCAAGAAAAACATCAGAATAGAGGATTCACAAGAGAATTTCTTGAGCGACAAATGCATAATTTGGCAGAAAAAGAAGTTTGGGAGACTTTCATAGATGTCCTAGCACTCACCATTTATGGCATTGTCCTCTTCCCTAAGCATGACAACTTTGTGGATTTAGCAGCAATAGATGTGTTTCTTGCATGCAAAAATCGATCTGAAAATCCTGTCCCTACACTACTAGCTGATGTTTATTGTACACTGAGTTTCTGCCATGAAAGGAAAGGAAAGAGGATTATATGTTGTCTACCTATGCTTTATATATGGCTCACAACTCATGTCTTTAAAAGGCCAAGTGAGATCAAGTGTCCGATCACTGATTTGCTGAGGTTTCAGATTGGGCAGAAAAATGGTCAAGAGTGGGCAAATCACTTAGCCAGTTTGAATGAAGGACACGTTAGGTGGCACACTCCATGGCAACAATCAACGACTATTGTTTATCACTGTGGCAATTACCCAAATGTTCCTCTTATGGGTACTCGGGGTTGTATTAATTACAATCCAATTATGGGACAACGTCAGCTCGCTTATCCCATGATGGGACCACCTGTTGAGGAATTGTTGATTCCTTTTGTTGTCTATTATGAAGATGGAAATTTCACTGAGCTTATCCAAAAGGCAAGGAATGCTTAGGCAAGGGTTGTTCGAAAAGGAAAAGAGTTAGGCGTGAGAAGTTGTGCAGCGAAAGTAAGTTACCGTCAATGGGTTAAAGAAAGAGTCCAAGAGATTAAGTTACCATTCAAAGATCCAGGTACCTCCCAAGAAAGTGAGCCATCTAATCCAGAACCCTTTGAGAATGAAGAAGTAAAAGAATTAAAGGTAAGACTGGCTAAGATGATTGAAAAGAATGTGAGGGTAGAAAGGGAGCTTCGAGAGAGCCGTCAAACTTGCGCCATTTTGAAGAGAGAAAACAGTAAAAAACAATAAGCCTATGAAGAGGTTTGTAAGAAGCAGAAGTCTGTGCAAAGCCATACAACTAAAGTTCAATGTTGCCTTGAAGCTGCAAACAAGGAATTAGGATTGAGGGTGAAGGAGCGAAATGCAGCTTTATATGAGAAACGACAATTGAAAGGTGCATTGTACAAGGCAAAAAGAGATCGAGAAGAAGCTTTGACTCAAGCCAGTGAACTCCAAACACGAGTACAAAATATGGAAGAGCAGATAAAGGAAATTGTCATGGCATGCGAGGCTGAAATTAATGCTGAAAAATGGGAAGTGATTAGAATCATGAAAGAATACGAAGCTATTGTGAAAGTGAAAGATGGTCAGATAGAAGAAGGAGATAAGCTTATTGAGTATTGGATCAAGCGCTTCATACAACTTGCATCATTAGCTAATGCCGCGATTGATGACGTCCTGTATATGTTGTCAAAGGCTGAGACAGCTAATTTTTTCTACATGATACCTCAAGAAATTAAAGATTTCCTTAGCCATTGCAACTGGTTGGTCTCGGAGATGAAAGGAATGATAGCTAGGGCTAGGAAGGGGTGATGTAATGATTTGGGGTATGGGTAGACTATGTATGGGTAAAAAAAAAAACAGATGTATTTTGAATCAAATTCTGATGTACTTTGATGTTTTAATTTGATTATGGATTATATTTTGGTGTGTTTCATTTGACGAGGATCCTACATTAATTTCCATTAAAGAGTTGAAGACGCTCAACAATTGTGATGATTCTTTAATCTTTGGTTGTTATTTTTTTTTAAGTGCATTTTTCATTTTGATTAATTCTTTTTTTGACTACAAACTATTTCAGAAAATTAAACAAATATAACGGGGAAACGTTTTCTAAAGCATCCTTATAGAACTCGTGCTCAAGCAAAGATCATGGATGAGTTAGAGGAGCACAATGAAGAGCTGAGAAACGATGTTAATCAGTTGAAAGAACAAATGGCACAAATCCTAGAGGCACTGAAGTCTTTAGAGAGAAGAACCACAGAGGGGACCCCTATTCAAGCACCTCCTGCATAACCCACTCCTACCTATCCACCAGGTTTTACCCCTACACAAGGACTATCTCAAAGTTTTCCTCCTCATGAAACAAGGGTGCCTTTGACCTTGCATATAGAAAGGCCTCCACAACAAGCTTTCAATCAACAAGATGTCCAATTTCCCCCATATGGCCTTCCCTAAGGTTATACGCCTCCGATAGCTGAGAACCCACCAAACACTGGCCAACCATCAAATCAACCCAATCCTACACAACCTTCAGGTCCACAAATCCAACCAACCCAAACATCTATCCCATCATATGCTTACCCTCAAAATGCCCATCCCCAAGAAACTCATATACCCCACACTATACCTACCCTAAATCAACCGATCCACCACCAACCACAAATCACTAATCCTAGCCTTGATGGAAACCCAACCATATCACCATTTCATTCCAATAAGACCTTAGAAGAACCCCAGCCCAATTACTCAGAGGAGCACTTTCAATCCAGAGAAAAATTGCAAATATTGGAAGAAAGATTGAGAGCTATTGAGGGAAGCAGCTATGGCATTGGAGAAGCTACAGATCTTTGCTTGGTCCCAGATGTGATGGTTCCTCCAAAATTCAAAGTGCCTGATTTTGATAAGTACAAAGGAACGACATGCCCAAAGAGTCATCTGATCATGTACTGTAGGAAGATGGCATCACATGCCCATGATGATAAGCTGCTAATTCACTTTTTTCAAGACAGTTTGATTGGAGGAGCTTTGAGTTGGTATATGCATCTTGAGCATACTCGTATTCGTAGTTGGAAAGACTTGGCTGATGCTTTTCTAAAGCAATATAAGTACAATATTGATATCGCTCCTGATAGATTACAACTGCAGAATATGTTAAAGAAGGAGGATGAAACTTTTAAAGAATACGCCCAGAGATGGAGAGAAGTTGCAGCTCAAGTGGAGCCTCCTTTGTCTGAAAAAAAAATGGTAGCTATGTTTATCGATACTCTCCAATCACCTTTCTATGATAGGATGATTGGAAGTGTTTCGTCAAACTTCTCTGATATTGTGATTATCGGAGAAAGAGTGGAAGGAGGAATGAGGAGTGGTAAGATATCTCACAATTCGAGCGGACCCTCCAATTTGAAGAAATTTACAAATGGTCCAGGAAGAAAGAAGGAGGGAGAGACTAATGCTATAGCTTTTCACCCAATAGAAGTTCCTTTCATCAGACCTAACCCTGCACCTTTTCAATTTCAACCCACATTTCCTGCCCCTCAAATTTCTTACCCATATGTCAATGCTGTTTCACAGAATCCAAGTCCCCAATCTTATCAGTCGCGACCCTACCAACCCGCTCCGCCTACTTTTCCCATAGCACCACCCATGAGACCACCCCAACATTGGAACCAAAACCTAAATCCCAACCAAATAAGACCCCAAAACAGTCAAGAAAGGAAGCAAGTTCAATTCGATTCAATCCTTATGTCCTACACTGAGTTACTACCTCGTCTATTCCAAAGTTCATTAGTTGTACCTTGTCCAATGAAACCTGTAGAACCGCCCTATCTAAGAGGGTATGACCCGAATGCTAAGTGCGAGTATCATGCTGGTGGTATTGGTCATTCGACAGAGAATTGTAGGGCATTAAAGTTCATAGTGCAAGACTTAATTAATGCCAAATGGATGAATTTCAAGGAGGATAATCCTAACATTAGGAGTAATCCCCTACCTGGGCATGGAGGATCATCGGTAAATGACGTCGAGGAAGAGTCTTCACATGTTTTAAAAAGGAAAGTTAAAGAGGTTACCACTCCTCTTAAGGTTATTTTTTATGAGCTGTGCAAGGCTGACTTGATCAAGGGTTTTGTATATGAAAAAAATATGTGTGATTTGTACCCTAATGCATACCATTCCATTGAAGATTATGAAGAATTCAAGCATGTTCTGCAAACCCTGATGGACAAGCATTTGGTCCAAATTGGGCACTTTAAAAGGAAAAATGAAGTTTTGACTGTTGATGAACAATCACTAACTTTTCTGAAACCTTTGGTCATTCATTACACCAAGTGTGTGGATACCCCAACTACCAATGGACCTAGACCTATCACTATACAGGTACCGGCTCCATTCCCTTATAAGGACAACAAAGCAGTACCATGGAAGTATGATGCAAAGGTTTATTCTGATATTTTTGTCGTCTCAAACATTGCTGGTGTTGGTGGGATGACCCGTAGCGGTCGTATTTACACACCTGAGGAGCTGAGAAAGGAGCGAACAAAAGAGATAGAGAGATCCTCAAAGGGGAAAGCCAAAGTGGGCGAGTTTGAAGACGCTGACGAAGAGAAAATGCCTGAAATAAAGAAAGTAGTGTCAGATGAAGAAGCTTGTGAGTTTTTGAAATTTATTCGGCAAAGTGAATATTAAGTTGTGGAACAATTAAACAGAACTCCAGCACAGATATCTCTTTTATCGCTGTTGTTAAACTCTGAGCCACATAGGAGGACTCTTTTGAAAGTGTTGAATGAGGCTCATGTCAGTCATGATATCACTACCAACAAGTTTGGAGGCATTGTTGGTAATATTGTCTCAAACAATTATCTCACCTTCGCTGATGATGAAGTACCTGCCGAAGGAATGGGGCACAATAAAGCACTGCATATTTCTGTGAAATGTCGAGATCACATTATTGCTAGAGTGCTTATTGACAATGGGTCTTCTCTGAATGTGATGCCAAAAGCAACATTGTCAAAATTACCTTGTGATGAGTCGCATATGAAACCCAGTGCCATGATAGTAAGAGCTTTTGATGGAACAAGGAGAGAGGTCATTGGAGAAATTGAAATCCTAATCCAAATCGGTCCTTGCACTTTTCAGATTTTGTTTCAAGTAATGGACATCGCGCCAGCTTACAGCTGTCTTTTGGGGAGGCCTTGGATTCATTCTGCTGGAGTTGTACCATCCACATTGCATCAGAAACTAAAGTTTATCATTGATAATAAGTTAGTGATTGTCTCTGGTGAAGAAGATGTGTTGGTGACTAAGCCTTCGTCCACTCCTTATATTGAAGCTGCTGAAGAAGCTCTAGAGACCTCTTTTCAGGCTTTAGAGATTGTGAATGCTACTTATGTAGGAGAGGGAGCTCCAATTTTAAAGCCTCGATTGTCTAATACATCCATAATGACTGCTAAAGTCATGCTCAATGGAGGTTTTCAGTACGGATACATGTTGGGGCAAGTCATATCGAAAGCAACAAACTGGTTACAGCTTCATGAGAATAAGGATAGATTTGGGTTGGGATACACGCCCACTAAAGCTGATAAGAGAAGAGTCATGGAGGAAAAGAAAGAAAGAAGATTAGCCAGCTTGGAAGGTAGGGAGCCTAAAACTGAAGGGGTCCCCATTTGTGATCTCCTGAAAAGCTTCTATAGTGCTGGATTTGAGTTTCAAGACTCAGTGGCTGCTGCTGATGTGGATACACTTGAAGAAGAGGTTGTGGACCTAGTCCGCACTTGTCCGCTAAACACAGAAGTTGGCAATTGGGAGATCATCGAGTTACCTGTGATTTTTAATAGCTATTCAAAGTAATCCTTGAAGTTAATCCTATTGTTTTGTTCCAAAGCTTTAGGATATCATTACTTTTTGAAAACGCTGATATATGATTTCTTTTTGTAATTTGAAATATCAGTTTGTTTTGTAAATTGGGACACATGTTTCCTTTTAAGTATATTTAAATGAAATGCAATTTGAATTCTCAGTAATCTTTCGTGTCTTTTTCTTTATCAGTTGAATCTTGTTGTTTATTTTCTTTTTGTCTCAACTCTTGCACAATGCAGATTCGAAAGTGACATGTCTAAAAGTAACAGTGCTAATATCTCATCCACTAATTTTGATTGTCCCATTAATAAAGCTGTCGAAGATGATAGTGATGTTGATTTACCCTCAGAATTTCTAAGATTGGTCGATCAAGAAGTGAAAGAGATCCAACCTCATGATGAACCCACTGAGACAATTAATTTAGGGACTAAAGATGATAAGAGAGAAATCAAAATAGGCACCCTAATGAAAAAACAAGAGCGCGACAAGTTGATTAAACTCCTGCATGATTATAATGACGTCTTTGCATGGTCTTATCAAGATATGCCAGGTCTAGATGTTGACATAGTCGAGCATAAATTGCCACTAAAACCAGAGTGTTTCCCAGTTAAGCAGAAATTAAGGAGAATGAAACCTGAGATGTCATTAAAGATTAGAGAGGAGGTCAAGAAGCAATTTGATGCAGGTTTTCTTGCTGTTGCCAAATACCCTCAATGGGTTGCTAACATTGTGCTAGTTCCCAAGAAAGATAGAAAGGTTCGGATGTGTGTTGACTATCGGGATCTAAATAGAGCCAGCCCTAAAGATGATTTTCCATTGCCTCACATTGATATGCTAGTAGATAATACAGCTCAACATTCATTTTTCTCTTTTATGGATGGTTGCTCGGGTTATAATCAGATCAAAATGGCTGAAGAGGATATGGAGAAAACCACATTCATTACACCTTAGGGCACCTTTTGCTACAAGGTCATGCCTTTCGGTTTGAAAAATGCTGGGGCAACATATCAAAGGGCGATGGTGACATTATTTCATGATATGATACATAAGGAGGTTGAAGTCTATGTGGATGATATGATTGCCAAATCAATGACTGAAGAAGACCATGTTATAAATTTACACAAATTGTTTAAGCGGTTAAGAAAATTCAAATTGCGGTTGAACCCTGCCAAATGTACCTTTGGGGTAAAATCAGGCAAGTTGTTGGGATTCATTGTCAGTCAAAAGGGAATAGAGGTTGATCCTGACAAGGCAAAAGCAATCATGGAAATGCCGCCTCCTCGCACTGAAAAGGAAGTTCGTGGATTTTTGGGGAGATTGAATTATATTGCCCGATTCATATGCCAACTAACTGCCACTTATGAACCAATTTTTAAGTTGTTACAGAAAAATCAGTCGATGGAGTGGAATGATGATTGTCAAGAAGCTTTTGAGAAGATAAAACAATATTTGCAAAATCCCCCGATACTAGTGCCGCCAGTGTCAGGGAGGCCGCTTATTATGTATTTGACAGTGTTAGAAGGATCCATGGGATGTGTTTTAGGTCAGCATGATGAATTGGGTCGGAAAGAGCATGCCATTTATTATTTGAGCAAGAAGTTCACTAATTATGAAGCTAGATACTCTTTGTTAGAGCGAACCTATTGTGCCTTGGCTTGGGCAGCTCGTAGGTTAAGGCAATATATGTTGAGTCACACGACTTGGTTGGTGTCAAAAATGGACCCAATCAAATACATCTTTGAGAAACCAGCCCTTACTGGAAGGATTGCTCGTTGGCAGGTCTTATTGTCAGAATATGATATTGTGTATGTTACTCAAAAAGCAATCAAAGACAGTGTTCTTGCAGATTTTTTAGCTCATCAACCGATGAATGATTATCAGTCAATACAGTACGAATTTCCTGATGAAAATATAATGGCATTGCTCAATGAGAAAGGATCGTCAGCAAGAGATGAATGGGTCATGATGTTTGATGGTGCTTCTAATGCACTCGGACACGGGATTGGTGCTATACTAATTTCCCCAGAGAAGCAATATATTCCGATCACAGCTAGATTATCATTCGATTGTACAAATAATAGCTGAATATAAAGCATGTACTATGGGAATTCAAGTAGCTATAGAGTCAAAGATCAAAATTCTTGAGGTGTATGGTGACTCAGCCTTGGTCATCCACCAGCTAAAAGGTGAATGGGAGACTCGAGATGTCAAATTGATCCTTATCAAGCCTATATCAGAGAGCTAGTGGAGTATTTCGATGAAATTACTTTCTAACATATTCCTCGTGAGGAGAATCAATTGGCTGATGCTTTGGCTACTTTATCATCAATGTTTGTAGTGAGTCAAAAAGAAGACATGCCGTTCATAAAGATGCAACAGCTTGATCATCCTGCCTATTGTCAAATGGTTGAAGAAGAATCTGATGGTAAACCTTGGTATCATGACATTAAAAATTTCCTAAAACACCGTGAATACCCATTAAATGTTGTTGAAAATGACAAAAGGACATTGAGGAGGTTAGCAATGAGTTTCTTTCTGAATGGAGACGTGCTCTACAAAAGGAATCATGATATGGTTCTACTTAGATGTGTGGATGCTTCAGAAGCACAAAAGATCATGGAAGAGATTCATGAAGGTTCATTTGGGACCTATGCCAATGGACATGCCATGGCAAAGAAGATTCTAAGGGCTGGATATTATTAGTTGACAATGGAGGCCGATTGCTTTCGTTATGTGAAGACATGTCATAAATGCCAGACATATGCTGATAATATTAACGTTCCCCCAACAAGCTTGAATGTCTTATCATTGCCTTGGCCTTTTACAATGTGGGGAATTGATGTTATTGGACCCATTGAACCTAAAACGTCTAATGGTCATCGCTTCATTCTAGTTACTATTGACTATTTCACAAAATGGGTTGAGGCTGCTTCATATGCTAGTGTGACCCGAAATGTGGTGGTGAGATTCATTAAAAAGGATTTGATCTGTCGGTATGGCCTTCCAAGCAAGTTAATAACAGACAATGGCACTAATTTGAACAACAAAATGATGAAAGAATTGTGTGACAATTTCAAGATTCGACATCATAATTCCTCTCCCTATCGCCCAAAGATGAATGGAGCAGTTGAAGCAGCCAATAAAAATATTAAGAAGATCATCCAAAAGATGGTAGTGACATACAGAGATTGACATGAAATGCTGCCATTTGCCTTGCATGGATATCGAACTTCAGTTCACACTTCAACCGGGGCAACTCCATACTCTTTGGTATATGGAATGGAAGCAGTACTTCCTATTGAAGTCAAAATTCCCTCTTTAAGAGTAATAATGGAGACCAAATTGGAGGAAGCAGAATGGGTGCAATCTCGTTTTGATCAATTAAATCTCATTGAAGGAAAACGGTTGAATGAGTTATGTCACGGTCAACTATACCAGAGAAGGATGAAGAAGGCTTTTGATAAAAAGGTTCGCCCAAGAGAATTCAGTGAGGGAGATATGGTGCTTAAAAATATTTTGCCGACGCATAAAGATTATCGTGGCAAGTGGTCCCCGAATTATGAAGGACCATATGTGGTGAAAAAGGCTTTCTCAGGAGGGGCTCTAATCCTCACAAACATGGATGGACAAGATCTTCCAAATCCCATCAATTCTGATGCTGTAAAAAAATACTATGCTTAAAAGAATAATAATAATTAAAAAAAAAGAAAAAATAATAATAAAAACAAAAAAGAAAACAGCTCGCTAGGTTGAAAACCTGAAAGGGCAACCTAGGCAAAAGTTAGAGCGACCTGGTGAGCTGAAAACTCGAAAGAGCGGCTCAGGCAAAAATTAAGGTCAAATAAATACTACACTGAACTGAAAACCTGAAAGGGCGGTTCAGAGGGGCACTAACTTCAGTCGCAAGAAAGGGCTTTAAATCGAGAAATATGATCGACTAGAATACTAAACTGGGGCAATTTTGAGAGGTTAAAGTTGAATCAAACGGAAGATGGATTCAAAATACCATACTGGGGCAATTTTATTTTGGCAGTTTTGTTAATGGATGATCAATTTACGGGAGAGATTAGCACTGTTCATCTGGAAGACGTCACTTAATCGGCATAATACTTCACTATTTTCATAGTCATTTTGATCCTTTGATGTATTTGTTTTTTTTTTTCGTTACTCATGTTGTAAGTCTTCTTTGTAAATTCACCCTTTCTTTGTTACAGTCATTCCTATATTCCAAAAATATTTATCTTTGTCTTTAGTCACCTTCCATTCAGCTTATATACACCACTTTGTTTACTCAACTTCTTTAATAGCATTTTTATTGTCATTTCAATAATTATATACTAAAAGGAAATATGCAAACTGTTAAAAGGATAATAAGAAAATACGATTACAATAATAAGCTACATAGTAAGTTCGATGAATCTCCTAATAAGTTCAGCATGACAGAAGAAGTTGACTTCTCTTGACGATTCAAAAATAGATGGCAGTCCAATTTGATTGATGTCTTACCTAGCTCAAATTTCATGAAAGAATTGATCCTGACCAAAGAAGTTACTCATTCATGAACCTTGATGTGCATGTTTCGATAAGGTTGGAAGAATTATCATCCCCGAAAAAAAAAAAAAAGAGGACAGAGTTTGTTTTGATTTAATAAGTCTTATTATTGCATTTGACCTCATCATTCAATAAATTTCATTCCAAGTGTTAACATTCATCAAGTTTATGCAATCGCATCATCACATTAGCATGCATTTGTTTTTATCTATTATCACCTTTTGAAGTTTAATTTAAATTCATTATCTTCCTTACAACCTTTATGTTCAGTCCAAGTCTACGATATAACTGAGTTCCTCACCTTTCATCAAAATTCAGAAGCTGACTAATGTCTTTATTTTTCTGCCTTACTTTTACTGTTAAGGTTTAGAGCATGACTGTCCTTTTATTTTTTGCAATCCAGAACATGATCGACCTTTTTATTTTCTGTCTTTCTTTTTACCTTTCTTGTCCAAGTCCCTTTGTGTTTTTGTCAAAGCCTAAAACTTAACAGCATCTTTCGCATTTTTTCAAAGCCCAGCACCTACCTGGTACATTTTATTTTTCTGTCAAAGTCCAAAATCTGACTGGCACTTTTTCCTTCTCTGTCGAAACCCAGAACCTGGCTGGTACCTTTTTACTATTATGTCAAAGCCCAGAACCTGGCTGGCATATTTTATTTTTTCAGTCAAAGCCCAGCACCAAATTGGCACCTTTCTCTTCTCTGTCAAAGTTCAGAATCAAACTGGCACATTTCACTTTTCTATCAAAGCCCAGAACCAAACTGGCACATTTTTTTTTTGTCAAAGTCCAGATCCTGACTGACACACTTCACTTTTCTGTTAAAGTCTAGAACCTGACAGGCACATTTTACTTCTCTTCCATAGTCTAAGACCTAACGGGCATTTTTCACCTTTTATCCTGTTGTTTAAGCTCAGTATCTGCCTAGCGACCTTTGTTTTTAGTTAAAAGTCAATGTCGTCTCACCATTCTGTTTAACACAAATCGTCATAAATTACAACTTTTCCTATTAGCTGAGTGTTCATTATATTTGTCTTTGTATTCCTTGTACACCTTATTCGTTTCAGACAAAAATTGATTCACTTCTTTACTCAATTCTCATCAACTCTAACTTTAAAATATCTCTAATTGATATGAACTGAGTAAAGAGGGGCAACTGTGAATACCAATTTTTGTATTTTTGAAATGGCTTCCAATTTTTTTTTAATTTATAAAAATAAAATAAAATTATTTTATAGAAAAATGGAAAATTTTGAAAAAAAGGAAGAGACTGGTTCATGGAAATGGTATCCCTGCACTATGCAGTCTGAGACCCCAGTTTCAAAACTGACTGAATGCATGAAAAGGGAAAGGCTCAGATTTTGGCATTTTGTATAAACCCTAAAGGAACCCAGTATAAAATCTAAAAGCAAGAGATCTGGTGAGGGGAACTTTTCGAAAAGAAAAAAAGCAAAGCAAAAATTTTCAGAGAGGAGTGTGAAGTTTTTTGAAAAGAAAGCAAACAATTTTTTGGAGAAGAAACAAAGTTTCAGAGAAAGAAAAATATTTCAAGAGGTAGCAACAAGTTTGTTTTCAAAAAAAAAGAGAAACATTTTGAAGAGGAATATGGGAGAAAGAGAGGAAGCAGGTAAAAAAAAGGGAGCATTTTATAGAGGAAGGAGAACAGCACAACAAAGAAGAGAACAAATAAAATAGTAGAAAAAATCAAAAATCAAGAGAAGAAAGAAATCATAGTCACTATCTTTCATCCTCCGTTGCTGCTCAAATCTGAACGTTCTTCAACTTTGAATACTGCCAAGGTATTGTCTTTACTGCTAAACTCATTCACAAAACCATGTCGTGGGATGAAAGACGCAAGATAAAAAAGAATACAAGTTATGGGTCATTTGATAGGATTTAGTTGTTTTGTTAATATGTTCTTATTATTTTATTATAAAAATGAAAAGAGAGTTTGATGAAAACGTGACTTATGCACGTCGAGGAGAGATACGGTCAAATCCATTCAAAAAGCTGCATTATATATTATTTTATTTGCTTATTAATGCATTGGAAATGAAATAGATATAAAGATGGAAATCGAGAAGTGCAGAGTATAGTCTTTTCAATTCTTTGTTAGTTCATTGATTTTATGCATATGAGATATAGAAGAATATAGGCGGTGAAAGGAGCGACAGTCTAACTTACAGCATGGTGCAGTCATTTCATTTTTTTTTCTTTTCTTTCTTTTTTCTTTATATCTTTTATATTTATTTATTTATTTTATGTCATAAAAATATAGTTCACTTCCAAAAAGTTTAGACCAAGATTAATGTTAGATTATGCTTGAACTTCTTTTTATTTATTATTCACTTTTTTTCATTTTTTTCTGTTATTATTTTTATTATTATTATTTTAAGGATATCATATTCAGCCAACTAAATTTAAAAATACATAAATAATTCATGTAAATATATGTGTGTATGTATATATAGTTTATATTTATTTACGTGTTTATAATTTATTTATTTACAGTGTTATCATTCTTTACTTTATTGTATTAATTTTAGGATGATTGATATAATTAGATTTTATATTCATATTTTAGCTTTTTTTATAACTCACAAATTATTTTGTAAACAAAAAAATAGTGTAATATTCTCATCAATTTATAATATTAATGTATAGTTTTTCTATCGTTATGTAATATAAATTGATAAAACCTATGTGTACCAACGTTACCTTAGGTCTTATGCAATATAAATTTATCAAATAAAATTTGAATTTTTATTAAATAGTTATTTTCTTTAATCAATTTAGATATATTTATTCTTTTCATCAAATGGAATTAATTTCGTATTGTAATTTTTCTTCTTAATATTTCAAAATTTGATGAATTAAATAACTAAACATTTCTTTGCTTATTTATACAAATATCGATGTGTGATTTACATTGCTTTCGATTGTCCAACAAATTATGGGAAGATTTATGTATAGCTTACGCTATCTTAAATTTTCTTTCACATCAAAAGTAAAATTTAAATACTTTGTAATAATAAGATATTTTAACGATTTACAATATAGTTGTGTGATCTTTCTTCACTTTCTACATTGTTTATCGTAGAGTATATGTATAACCGCGTTATCTTGTATCCTAAATTTTATAACTTTACAAA